CCTGGAGTTCAACCCCACCAAGGGCAAAGTCATGAAGATTGGGAAAGGGCAAAGAAGACTGCAGATGGAGTACAGTCTAGGGGGCCAGAGACTACAAACCTCACTCAAAGAAAAGGATTTTGGGGGTGAGTATAATACCCGGCACATCTCCTGAGGAGCACATCAACCAAACAGCTGCTGCAACATATGGGCACCTAGCAAACCTAAGACTAGCATTCCAACATCTCAATAAGGAATTCATTCAGAACTCTGTACACCGTGTCCGTTAAGCATGTATTGGAGTATGCAGCATCAGTTTGGAACCCACACCTAGCCAAGCACATACGGAAATTAGAGAAAGTGCAAAGGTTTGCAACAAGACTAGACCCAGAGCTAAGGGGCATGTCCTACGAGGAGAGGTTAAGGGAAATCGACCTGACGACACTGGAGGACAGGCAAGTTAAGGGGAGATATGATAACGACATATAAAATACTCGGAGGAATCGACAAGGTGGACAGAGACAGGATGTTCCAGAGATGGGACACAGCCACAAGGGGTCACAGTTGGAAACTGAAGACTCAGATGAATCACAGGGATGTTTGGAAGTATTTCTTCAGTCACAGCATTGTCAATCTGGGATGTGATGTAGTGGAGGCAGAACCCATACATACCTTTAAGAAGAGGTATGATAAAGCTCATGGAGCAGGAAGAGTGACCTAGTAGTGACCAGTGAAGAGGCAGGGCCAGCTGTGACTCGACCCCTGCAACCACAACTGAGTACACACACACACACACACACACACACACACACACACACACACACACACACACACACACACACACACAGTGTAGGCGGGGCCAGGAGCTCGGACTCGACCCCCGCAACCTCAACTAGGTGAGTACACACACACACACACACTTGTCTCTGTGGAGTGCATTGTGTAACTAAATGAAAAGAAATATGGCAGCCAGCAGGACTGGTATTCAGGCTGCCATCTCTCCACGATAGTGACTTTCTGATGTTCTAAACTATACATGATGCAATTACAAGAACAAGCATTATCTTAACATGAAGTATTGGTACAGCGAATAGCAATTAAATTTCAAGCACTTTCATGATCTCAATATAAAATACAATAAAACAAAATGGTGTCTTATATTATTCACAAGGCACTCGTCACATCAAAGTCAGATGCACAAAAATACAGTGGACCCCTGGTTAACGATATTTTTTCAATCCAGAAGTATGTTCAGGTGCCAGTACTGACCGAATTTGTTCCCATAAGGAATATTGTGAAGTAGGTTAGTCCATTTCAGACCCCCAAACATACACGTACAAATTATTATTATTTTTTTTATTATCACACCGGCCGATTCCCACCAAGGCAGGGTGGCCCGAAAAAGAAAAACTTTCACCATCATTCACTCCATCACTGTCTTGCCAGAAGGGTGCTTTACACTACAGTTTTTAAACTGCAACATTAACACCCCACGTACAAATGCACTTACATAAATACACTTACATAATTGGTCGCATTGGGAGGTGATCGTTAAGCAGGGGTCCACTGTATTTACCTTCATGTTATTCTCTTATTTTCTTCACTTTATTGCATTTAATACGCCTTGAGAATGTGACACCACATTCACTGTAGTTACAGTGAAGAGTGTGTACTCACCTTTATGTGGCTGAGGGGTTATTCTTTGCTCCTAGGCCCAATCTCAATTTGCTGCTTGCTTGAGTGATGCCTAGCCTTGTGGATCCTAGCTTACCTACTCTTAAAATTATATATGGAATCTGCCTCCACCACTTCCCCCAATTTATTCCACTTTCTGACTACCCTGAGAAACATGAAGGATTTCCTAACATCCCTATAGCTAATCTGCGTAACTTCCAGCTGTGCACCCAAGTACCTATCATCTGCGTCTCAGATTGTCCCTGTCTACCCTAACAATTTCTCGGATAATTTTGTATGTTATATCTCCCTGGTTCTTCTCTCCTCCAAAAGAACTGGGTCACTGGCAAAGAGCAACTATGATAATGCCTACTTTGTATCAGATTCACCATCTTTTAACTCATCTCTTCCCAACACCCTACACCTGTAGTATACCTGGAGGGGGTTTCAAAAAGCCAGATCAACCAGGCTGTTACTGCTGGCTGCACACAGACCAACATACAGCCTGGCTGGTCAGGTACTGACTTAGGTGTCTGTCCAGCTTCCTCTTGAAGAGAGCTAGAGATCTATTAGTAATCCCCCTTACATATGCTGGGAAGCAGTTGAACAGTCTTGGGCCCCTGAAACTTATTGTGCTGTCGCTTAGTGTACACATGGCACCCCACTTTTCACTGGGGGGATGTTGCCAAGTCGTCTTTTTGGAGTGATTTCCGTATGCAGATTTGGGACTAGTCCTAGGATTTTCCAGGAGTATATTATAATGCACCTCTCTCACTTGCATTCCAAGGAGTACAGGTCAAGGAATTGTAACCATTCCCGGTAATTGAGGTGCTTTATTGTACTTATAAGTGCAGTGAAAGTTTTCTGTATGTTCTCCAGGTCTGCAATTTTGCCTGCCTTGAAAGGGACTGTTAGTGTACTGTAGTACTCCAGCTTAGACAGAACAAACAATTTGAAGGGAGACATTGGCTTGGCATCCATAGTTTTGAAGGTTCTCATTAGCTATCTTATCATTTTCCTAGCAGATGTGGTATAGATCCATCCACCCACTTTTCTTGTTATCCTTTTATCACACATTTTGTGTGCTTTTATACCCCTATTGCACTTGCTGTAGACTTTCACAGTGTGTGTAACACACTTCTTTTACAATGCCATACAGGAGGGCCTCATTGTACTGAGCTTCGCTTTATGGAGTTTATCTAATGCAATGGTTTTCAATTATACCCATTCTTCCTACAATAAATATATTGACCACTCACTATAAGCTAAGGACAAAAACATTTTAAGATAAGTAATGTGTATTGTATATGCATTTTTTAGGCCTAGCTCTACTGCTTACTTAATATTTGATAGTGCAAACATGTTATCAGGCTTTTATATGCATTTAAAAGTGAAAAAAGGCTATAATTTACTTTACAATGATTTTTACTTTAAAGCTGTAGCCCAGAACCTAACCTACTGTATAAGTGGTGCCCTCCTGTACAGTGACATCATGCAGCCTTTTCTAAGTCCTACTTTCACTGGTAAAGAATCCCCTGTCCTTCCTACATACCTTAATCTGAGCCTCATTCTCTGCATAAAGTCTTTTATTGCTCTTAGTAACCAACCTCCCATTCCTTACATTTGCAACACCTACCATGTGGCTCCCCTATCCTGCCTTTCATACACCTTTTCCAAATACAAAATTGCAATAAACAGCTGTTTATCCTTGTCTAAGATCAGCTTGCTTGTAAGTTTCAGTGTAAGCAGTGTCTAAACATCTACCCTTCCTAAATCCTCCCTGCCCCTTTGCAATCTTACTTATTTCACCTTGTAATAATAATTCTACCATAAACTTTACTTGATGTACTGAAAAGGCTTTACCCCTAGAATTCTCACTCTCTCTCTTACCCCCCCTTTCCTTATACCATGGAACTTTACATACACACCGCCATTCCCCATCTAACAACATCTTTACTAATACTGTTAAAAAGCGTCTATTAAATCTTGCATAAATATTATATCCATTAACTGTCTGTAAATTCTCATGCTTTGATTTCACCACCTCAATGCAACCACTCCATAAAATGAAGGTCACTGAACCTATGTAATTTCAATATAATTTATCTTTAACTGACCAAGTCTTCATTTGAAATCTGTCTCATTATACCTATGACTGTAATGAATTCCCAAGCTGTAGTGACTTAAATTTTATACTAGGTGTAGATGCAAGTAGCATGTAAACCTTATGGCCAGTTTGTCCAAAATGTCTTTGCATAATTAGTGACTTTCTTCTGAGCATTATACTGCATCAAACTGCATCTGTGTTATATTAATATCAAATTCAAAATTTAATCAATTTGAATGTATAAGTAATGTAACTAATTTGTATGGCTTACAATTTTTTTTTTTTTTTAATATCCCTGCTTACTTTTAACATCTGTCTTAATCCTATGTATCCCAGCAACTTTATTCCTTTTCATTCTACCCAGTGTCTCATGCAATTTCCCCACATCCACCTCAGGCTCCACCTGTCAGTAGTACTCTCTTGCTCCTATATCATGTTATCCCTCCCTGCCCCATGGGCTAACATTCAACAAAAACTCAAAATATCCTCTCTATCTTTCCAGTATGTACCTCCACCTCCCTAGATAACATCTCCTTTCTTTAATTTTTATCTGTAAAGTCCATTCGCTCTCCAGGTATTTTTTTTTCTTCACAGAGCTTTTGTGTGAATATAATAATTCAGAATCAGTGGAAGATGACTCATTATAAAAAAAATCCAACACTATCACAAATCTGAAACATGTCCAACTTTTATTTGTTATGATTGAGGCCAGCGTTATGCATACAATGGATGATAGCTAACAGGGTCCACACACTACTAACTGTGTGTAGACAACTAACTCACTAACTCCCTGTATTGAAGTCTGTGTGAAGAATAAGCTGGTAACTCTGCTCAAGTTTACTGACATTGCCAGTTACATGTCTACTGTACAGAACGACTGCCCAAGTACCTTAAGTGTCACTGGGCACTCAGCCAAGTCATACCACTCTCCATTAATAATTTTTCTTAGTCTTTTACTGTATCAAATGCATTTATCTTTGATATACTATTCTTTTGTTTAAGTGTGGTGGGTTCTTAATTGTTTAGTGCAATTTGGCCAAGAAATGTTGATTTTAAAATTATGATTGTACTCACAACATGAGCCACATTCCTAGAACTCCTAGACACTTCTAGTAGCAGAATAATTTTAACTGTTAGTAGAAGAAAAGCTATGGTCCAAAATCTTAGAACCCACATTAAATGCAGGAAACAAACTGTACACAATAGAAGCCAGCATATTATGTATACAAATAAAGAAAATCCTCACTGTTCATATAAATAACTAAGACATAACTATGTGCTTACCCTTTTGCTGCTGTCTAAGACATCTATTACTTCAACCAGGTCCTGCATTATTTTTTCAATTTCTGGTAAATAGTGAGCTGTCTGCAAAGGAAAAATATTTTTATCTTTTTCAAAAGAACTGTATGAAGATAGAATACAGATGGTGAAATGCTGTAAAAGCTGTTCACAGTATTGCATGCTGTTCCTTTTGCCAAACTGTCAGACAAAGAATCAGCTAAATAATTGTGATTTTTCTATACTTTAGTGACTGATCTGGACTCACTGGATTTAAATCCGATAGAGAACATTTAGAAACTCGTTATAGGTAAGCTTCATGGCAGGGGGTGAGAAAGAACAAACAAGTGATTAAGAAATAACAAGCCCATGTCCTCTACTCCAAAATCTCAGGTGCCATTAAGCAGGTGCAGGAGGGCATTAACTTTTCTATCCTCCATAAGTTAACCTTATCAGCATCTAGGAGACTTAAGGAGTGCATCAAGAGGTAGGGTAATCCTATGAAATAGTTTAGGCGAGGAACACACGCATATTTCAGTATTATACATTTAAAATAATAGGTTATGGTGAGTAGTCTCATTTTCTGAGTGAACTGTTTATGCATATGCATATTAATGATGCCTACTAAACACTATGCAGCTTTTGGTGTCAATACCTGACTCAAATGCTTATGGTAGTACAATAGTAAAAAAATTATATTTCATACTAACCACCTAAACCTGTCTACATTCAGCAATACCTTGCTAAATATTAGGGGTAATAGAAAACTCCTAGCTGCACACAAGTTACAACGTAAAGGTTTTTGTGGCTGACTTCACGTCTGTATGACCAACTCCTTAATATTGTTACAGGATCATTACTTTCAAACTAATTCATTATCACTGTAGCTTGCTTAGCTATCAAAACTTTAAGACCCAGTCTCTGGACCCATTATGTGCTTTAATAATTTTTTTGACAAATAACCAATGGATGAACATGGGGTGCATAATGAAGTTTTTAAACTACCTATGAGGAATAAAAAAGCTATATCTACAAGCTATTCAGAATATGGCAATCTTATGATTCTAGATTACTTCAAGTGTTAATCAATTACTTACAAGCCTTGTAATCTCAATGATCTCGTGTTGCTGGTGTACACCTAGTAACCAGCATCTGGTACAAAACAACTGAAATAAAGATTAAATAAACAATGTTAGTGTATTCCTGACAAATCTTGCATAAACATTAATAACAAAAATGCCAATATTTATTTTCACAATCTTAAAACAAGCCTATACACTATTTTAGTTTTATGAATAACCTGTCCTACATTTTTAATCATGTCTTTTCAAGTCACCAGAAACTCAAAATTTATATAGCATTTCAAAAGAAAACAATAGCCCCCCAGGTTAAGTAACAAATTTTTTTTTAACACACTAGCTATCTCCCACTGAGGCAGGGTAACCCGAAAAAGGAACAATTTCACCATAATTTACGTTATCACCATCTTGCAGAGGTGAGCAGATCTGACAGTTTAGATGTCCCTCTAAAAAGTACATATCCCAAACCCCTCCTTTAGAGTGCAGGCACTGTATCTCCCACCTCCAAAACTCAAGTCCAGCTATCAAATTATCTCTGCAATTTCAACTTTCAAAATTACAAATACCTGGAAATTCAAACCCAAACCTCCAGGAGTGAAGTCAACCTAAGGCACTGCATTGTGTTCTAAGTATGCCTTAATTTAGGTTGCAGAAAGTTCAGGTGAAAAAAGAGAACAAAGACAAAACATAAGAAAGAGAGGGGAGGGGAGGTGAGAAAGAACAGGTGAAAAAAAGGAGAGCAGAGATGAGCAAGAAAGCAGGCAAGAGAGAGAACATATGAGATAAAGAGCAGAATATGAAAGGGCAGTTCATAAAGCATTTGATGCTTATTATCCTAGGATAATAATAGGCGAAAATTGCCAGTGGGTGGAAAAGATCAGTTTTTCATTATCAAATGCATTTAAAAAAGTCTGATAACGTGTTTACACTCATATATTAAGCACTCATTACAGCTAGGCATAAAAAATATAATTTTTTTTTTTTTTTTCAACAAGTCGGCCGTCTCCCACCGAGGCAGGGTGACCCAAAAAAGAAAGAAAATCCCCAAAAAGAAAATACTTTCATCATCATTCAACACTTTCACCACACTCGCACATTATCACTGTTTTTGCAGAGGTGCTCAGAATACAACAGTCTAGAAGCATAAACATATAAAGATACACAACATATCCCTCCAAACTGCCAATATCCCAAACCCCTCCTTTAAAGTGCAGGCATTGTACTTCCCATTTCCAGGGCTCAAGTCCGACTATATGAAAAATAACCGGTTTCCCTGAATCCCTTCACTAAATATTACCCTGCTCACACTCCAACAGATCGTCAGGTCCCAAGTACCATTCGTCTCCATTCACTCCTATCTAACACGCTCACGCACGCTTGCTGGAAGTCCAAGCCCTTACCCACAAAACCTCCTTTACCCCCTCTCTCCAACCCTTTCGAGGACGACCCCTACCCCGCCTTCCTTCCCCTATAGATTTATATGCTTTCCATGTCATTCTACTGTGATCCATTCTCTCTAAATGACCAAACCACCTCAACAACCCTCTTCTGCCCTCTGACTAATACTTTTATTAACTCCACACCTTCTCCTAATTTCCACACTCCGAATTTTCTGCATAATATTTACACCACACATTGCCCTTAAACAGGACATCTCCGCTGCCTCCAACCGTCTCCTCGCTGCTGCATTTACCACCCAAGCTTCACACCCATATAAGAGTGTTGGTACTACTATACTTTCATACATTCCCTTCTTTGCCTCCATAGATAACGTTTTTTTGACTCCACATATACTCAACGCACACTCACCTTTTTTCCCTCATCAATTCTATGATTAACCTCATCCTTCATAAATCCATCCGCCGACACGTCAACTCCCAAGTATCTGAAAACATTCACTTCTTCCATACTCCTCCTCCCCAATTTGATATCCAATTTTTCTTTATCTAAATCATTTGACACCCTCATCACCTTACTCTTTTCTATGTTCACTTTCAACTTCTACCTTTACACACATTCCCAAACTCATCCACTAACCTTTGCAATTTTTCTTTAGAATCTCCCATAAGCACAGTATCATCAGCAAAAAGTAAACTGTGTCAATTCCCATTTTGAATTGATTCCCATAATTTAATCCCACCCCTCTCCCAAACACCCTAGCATTTACTTCCTTTACAACCCATCTATAATATATTAAACAACCATGGTGACATTACACATCCCTGTCTAAGACCTACTTTTACCGGGAAGTTAGTCTCCCTCTCTTCTACACACCCTAACCTGAGCCTCACTATCCTCATAAAAACTCTTTACAGCATTTAATAACTTACAACTATTCCATATACTTGCAACATCTGCCACATTGCTCCTCATCCACTCTATCAATCCCTTTTCAAAACCCAAAATGCAATAAAAACTTCCCTATCTTTATCAAAAACGTTCAAAATCTTCAAAAAAACCCCTGATTACACATCCCCTCCCCACTCTAAAACCCCCCTTGTACCCGAACCTACATTCTGTCTTACCTCAAAATTTTTTTAAATTAAACCCCTACCGTACACTTTTCCTGGTATACTCAGTAAGTTTATTCCTCTAAATTTTTACAGTCTCTTTTGTCCCCTTTCCCTTTATATAAAGGGACTATCATGCCTTGCCAATCCCAGTACCCCCCTCTTTCATCATTTATTAAAAAGTACAACCACTCCAACACTAAACCCCCCCTGTTTTTAACATTTCTGTCATACCCCACATTCCAGCTGCTTTACCCCCTTTCATTTTACTAATGCCTCACGTACCTCCCCCCACTTACATTCGCTCTTTTTCCCTCCTAAAAATGGAAAACCTCCCTGACCAGTGCATAAAATTACTCCCCTCGTTTCTTCCTTTAACATTTAAAAGTTCCTCAAAATATTCTCGCCATCTCCCCAATCCTCCATCCCCCCATCTACTAACCCCCCTACTCTGTTTTTAATGACAAATCCATTTTTTTTCCCTAGGCTTTCTTAACTTTTTTAACTCACTCCAAAATTTTTTCTTATTTTCTTTAAAATTTCTTGACATTTCCCCTCTCCCACTCTATCTCTGCTCCCTTTTGCACTCTCCACCCTCTCTTTTCCTTTCTTTTTTCTCTCCATATCTCTGCTCTTTATAACACTTCTGCTTTTTAAAAAAACCTTCATAACTACCTTTTTCTCTTTTATCACACCCTTTACTTTATCATTCACCAATCACTCCCCTTTTCCTCCTCCCCCACCCTCCTATAACCCCCAAACTTTTGCCCCCACATTTTAATACTGCATTTTTAAAAATATTCCAACCCTCTTCAACCCCCCCATATATTTTTCACTAGCCCCCCTTTTCCAATAGTCGCTTGTAACTCACCCGAATTTCCCCCCCCTTTGTTTATACACTTTCACCCCCCTTTACTTGTTGTTTCACCTTCCCCCTTTTCCCATCTACCCTTACTTAACTGTGCACAACTAAAAATGTCCGATTATCAGTTGCCCCCTATAAAAATGACATCCTGGACCCACCCATACCCTTTTTTCCACCAATCATAATCTAAAAACACTTTCATTACGTGCACACATACCTTTTTTTTATTTATTTATCCTCTTTTTTTATAAATATGTATTACTTATTACCAAATTTCTTTCTACACATAGCTCAATTTAAAGGGGCCCCATTTACTTTACCCCTGGAACCCCCCCAATTTACCTACTCTCCCTCCTAACATTTTTACCCACTTTAGCATTTAAAACCCCAACCACCCTTACTCTACACTTGATTCAAAAACCCCCACCATTCACCAACATTTCCCCAAAAATTTTCTCTCTCCTCTACACTTCTCTCTTCTCCAGGTGCATACCGTTATTATAAACCCACTTTTCCCCACCCAAACTTTATTTTACTCCCCATAATCCCGAAATTTAAAACATTTATATCCCCCCTTTTCCTCCATAGCTTATCCTTCAACATTATTGCTATCCTTCTTTAGCTCTAACTCTATTTGAAACCCCTGACCTAATCCCATTTATTCCTCTCCACTGAAACTCTCCCACCCCCTTCAGCTTTGTTTCACTTAAAGCCAGGACATCCAGCTTCTTCTCATTCATAACATCCACAATCATCTCTTTCTTATCATCTGCACAACATCCACGCACATTCAGACTTCCCACTTTGACAATTTTCTTCTTCTTATTCTTTTTAGTAATCTTTACAGTAAAATCTTTAAAGTAAAATAAATACATAGTATATACAATACTTGCCCTAAATAATGGTGCCAATTGCCTACCCCTAACGCAACTGTTGTACAGAAATACCGGAAAAATGGTAAAAGTACTGAACGTAGTGAACTATGGCTCAAATGAAAGCCAATGAAAACATGAAATCTAGATACAAACTAAGGCAAGATTTTAGGAGGGGGCAAAGCTTGTGTTCCCTTCACTGGGGTTGCCTTTAGAGGATACTTTTGGAGTATGTTGACAAGTAATAATTAGCATAAATACAGTGTGTTTAAAACAAAGAAATGCAACTCATGTATGATGCATACTATGGGTTGTGAAATTATTGCACATGTCTGTATCTTAATTTGAAATAGTCATTATCCTTACATTCCTTTAACCCACTATTTTTGTTTATTTCGGTATTCTTTAAATACAAGAATGATGTTCACACAACAGGATTTCTTTAATGAGTACTGTGTATTCAGTCTTATGTACTGGAAGAGCTACAGGTAAACATGTGTTGTACAATAAACAGTGAAGTGTATCAAAAGATATTAAAATGTGTGTTCAAAAGAATGTATTGACCATACCTGAATTAAAACCTTGACGGCCAACACATTCAGCAATTTTTGAAAACTAAAGAACGTGCATTCTCCAACAATTGCATCTCTTTTAAACAGTTTCTAGTATTAAAGCAATATAATTACCGTCTCCTTGTCCTTTACTGAACATGTTCTGCACAAATGGGTGACTGTTACATCAGGGTGCTCCAGGCACTTTGGGAGCTGGGAAAACCCTTCAACAGAATTTATTGGCTTTGGTTCATGTAGTCTCATTGTTCTGTGATTATGGATCTGAAAGTGTGAAAAAAAAAAAGTTGAATGGTATATGCAATATTAAATGATGAATATAAGGCTATGAGAATAAAGTTTCCATGGGAAATAGCGCAAAAAATCCTTCCTCCATAAGCAATGCATGTTGTAAGCAGCAACTAAAATGTCTTGTATAAATTACTAAATGTAAAAAGAAAAACTTTTGTTTCTTCTTTTTTTGGGTCACCCTGCCTTGGTGGGAGATAGCTGGGGTGTTAAAAAAATAAGCATAAAGCACTTGTGAAATACTCCAGTAAAATACTTGTGGTCTACAACATATACTCCAATGTTCAGTGCTCAAACTACTGCCTTTTGTCCTTAACTTGGAAAGAAGTTTCAAGATTATAAAAGCAGTTTGATCTATAAAATCACTTGGCACTCTTTAGGTAACATTTATTTTCCATGCTAGGTCTATTTATAACCAATCAGCCTGCCCGAAATGCCTCGGACTGATAGTGGCTTTCTTTGTTCCAATCAAATTATAAGTTGTAAACACACAATGTAACCTTAGCAAAGAAATAAAATTATATTTTATTTATTTTATTATTTATTAATCATTAAACAAGTGTTCCTCAACTCCACCAACCTTCTTAAAGCACTGATGGCATAGATGTGATGTGCATTTTTTACACATTACTGCAGCTGTAGCTCTGTTGCATTCCTGGCAAGCATCTGAGAAAGAATTAACAATTAATCTGTTAGCTAACTTGAGGTGGTCATACATATTAAATCCACATACCTCTCCTCAGTATAAATGGAAAATTCTTCATTATAACAGTGTTTAGCTATTACTTTTATCACCATTACACCCTCATTGTCTGGAAACTGTGAAAAAACAATAAAAGAATACAAAGTCATACAATAACCTACAACACTTTCACCTCGCTCATATATAATCACTGTTTTCGCAGAGGTGCTCAGAACACAACAGTTTAGAAGCATATACGTATAAAGAAAAAGCTAAATACCTTTATTATAAGCTTCACATTTCTGCACAAACTTCTTATCATGGAGAAAACTTTTCCTGAATTACCCACATTTGATAAGAAAAACAATTGAATTGAATTTACTTCATGACAAAATTATGGTTGCTATAAATGCAGTACAGTTGCAACCATAATATAAAGTACAGTAAAACATAATCAAATACAGCAAGGTAAAAAAAAAAAATATTAATTTGTAAAACAATTGTTAAAACTTGCTCTTAAAATGGTTGTTCTTACCTTTATTTTTAGTGGGTTTTCCTTGCATGGTTAATGTTTGTGCAGGATTAAACTTCATATACACCAGTCTGAAAGAAATATACATAGTGTTTTTTAACAATTTCAGGGTCCAGAGGCGAAATTTCAAAGTGTGCACCAGTGTCCAAGAATTTTCAAAAAAATTATTTTGTTATTTTTTCTAATGAAATGGTAGAGAATCTTTTTCTGATGGTAATAAAGCAAAAAGTACAAAATTTGATGGAAAATTTACGAAATTATGCTCTCACGAATTTTGATGTGTCGACGATATTTACACATCAGCAATTTTGCTGACTTTGACTCCCATTTTAGGCCAATTACATTATTCCAGTCAACCAAATTCTTAGCTATTTCACTAGAATTACTGCTATTCTATCAATTGAGCACAAGAATTCACTAAGTCTACTGTTTCAACTACAAAATAAAGTGATCGGAATTTGGTAATTTGGCCAATTTAAAGCAAAGTTCAAAATACTCCAATTTCAAAATTGGGTCCACAAATTGATGGGTCAGTTGTAGAAGCTGTGAAGAAGGTCATGTAGATGTCCTCTGATGTAGATGTCTTCTTCTGTTTTCTAATTATGTCCAAGAATCTGTATTGATAAAGCCACTGGATGGCAAAACGTCTACAATAAAGATAACCAGATGCTGCACAAGTGTCTTAACTTTCATCTTGTCGGTATTGTATACCAGTCTTGCACAACTTGTCGGCACTGCAACATCGTGGAATCTTGGTTCAGAGGACATCTACATGACCTTCTTCACGGCTTCTACAACTGACCCATCAATTTGGGTAGGACCTACATCCACTGGAGGATTCCGCCTACCAGTGACTATGCCCTCGTCTGTTACACGTCCCTATTCACTGACGCCTATATAAGCGCCAGTCTCCTTACCTGTGCTTCAGAATCTCTACAACCACGGTGCTGTAAACACCACCTCCAAGGCTGAGGGACTGATTACCTCATCTTTTGTATATAGTTCTTGTTTTCTAATTATGTCCAAGAATCTGTATTGATAAAGCCACTGGATGGCGAAACGTCTACAATAAAGATAACCACATGTTGCACAAGTGTCTTAACTTTCTTCTTGTCGGTATTGTATGCCAGTTTTGCACACCTTGTATGTTATTGGAGTGCGAGCAATGATAACACTTATGAAGGGATTCAGGGAAACCTAGTTAGCTAGACTTGAGTCCTGGAGATGGGAAGTACAGTGCCTGAACTCTGAAGGAGGGGTGTTAATGTTGCAGTTTTATAACGGTAGTTTAAGTGCACCTCAGTATCAGCCAATTCTGATGGTGTCAGCATTGGTACTAGTGTTGGTATCAGCTATTTTTTTATGGCATTCCTAAAAATAATTTAACTGGATCCTTGTGAATTAAAAAATTATTTCATACACACATCCCATCTCTATTTTACGAAATGAACAACTGCAAGAAGATTCAGTACTATTTTCACACTCAATGTCACAATCTGCAAGCACATTATAGCCTAATAACTGAGAATAAACACAAAATAAAAATACAGTACCGTGGACCCTCCGCATAACATGGCAATCCGCAAGTATAGCGATTTTTCCGCACTAACGATTACATTTTAATCGCTAAAATTTTTGCGCAGCATACCGATTAAAAACCCGCATACGATTTTCGTCCGAGACGCTCCAATTTACCCTCAGCACTCACATGTGCCGCTCCGTCCCATTGTTTACCAGCAGCCTCCGCGGTAACATCCAAGCATACACTCGAATATTTTGTTTATTACTGTTTTTCGGTGCTGTTTCTGGACAAATAAGTAGACCTGGGCCCAGAAAGTTCTAGTGCACCCTACACCTAAAAGGTAAGAATTAACTATAGAGAATGAGAAAGAATAATGATAAGTATGAAGTGAGATGCGTATAGCCGACCTAAGTCAATCTGTACAGAAACCCAATACATCGCAACATGTTGCTGGCACCAGAAAGACAATCAAGGAAGCTGTTCTCTGCAAGGTACAATGTTGTTTTCGAAACAAAGATTCGCAATTGATGAAGATGTGGAGAGAACTCCTTATTGTGTGGATAAATGAAAACATAGCAGGAGTTAGCGTTACTCTAAAGCGATATAAGTTAGAAAAGGCTAGTAATTCATGGAGGATTTAATTAAAAAATGCCTTGCAACTAGTGATTGAATGTTTGAATTTTAAGGCCGCAAAGGTTGGTTGAGAGATTTAAAATGCAGTGGCATCATAAAATGTGATAATGCTGTGAGGCTGCCATTAGGACCACAAAGCGCATGAAACAAATATGTGCAGTGAATTCAAGATGTACATAAAAGAAGGACTTTAAAACCTGAACAATTTTTTAATTGTGATGAACAGGCCTTTCTGGAAGAAAATGCCAAGCCAGGACCTACATTACTCAAAGGGGAAAGCACCCCAGGACATAGCCTGAAAGAAAAGGGTTACTTTGTGATGTGTGCCCAAAGCTAAGGTGATTGCAAAGTAAGCCTTATTGTGTATCACCTGAAATCCCAGAGCGTTTCAAGGGAAAAGAATGTCCTCAAGGATAATTTGTGTGTGCTGTGGAGGCAAACAGTAAGGCATGGTCACTAGGGAATTTTTCATAAAGGTTACACCATAGCATTTGCCCCCAATTGAAAAATACCTAACTGAAAAGAAATTAGAACCCTTTAATGCCCCTGGTGTTAGACAACCCTTACATCACAGCGTGGGGAAAAGGGGACCTTTTTAAAAATTATGAGGAGCTAGACAATAACCACTATACTACTTCCAAGAAGTGATGAATGGCATTATCGGCACTATAGTTACAATTTAATGTAAATTTCATTAGGTGCAATACACTACCAAATTCATAGAGAAACATGTTTTGTGAACATTACTATATATAATAAATCTTAAATCAGGAAAACCCCTGATTACTTTACTCATTTTTCCTGCTGTAACTAGTCCCAAGATGTACAAATGCTTCGGCAACTGGCCTTTTTGCACCTCTGTAATCTGGACAAGATGAAAGATACAGATTATACGTTAATGCATGTCAGTTTACAAACTAAAAAATTAATTAAAAAGAGGCAAAGTGAAAAACCACTTAGGCACAAATAAAACATGCATGGAAGTGAGATTTGCATAATTTCTTCTGCCTCAGACTCTTCAGCGATGCGAAGAATCTGAGGCAGAAATGAAGGGGTGGTAATGTCAACCAAGTGTTGCTCTTGCCCAGAGTTAGTTTTTACCAATTAAGGGCTCCTTACCTCTGACAGGATACTGTATTGTTCAAACTATTCTAAAATAGTCTATCACTAGAGATAGAGGTCAACATAAACAGCCAAAACTATTTTAGTACTGAACTTCCTATTACATTATCTTATTTAACTTAAAGTGAACTTAAGTTAGCAACATATTAATATGTAACCCCTTAACTATGGCATGCCCTGAAATTAAATTTCCTGTGTTTGCATGGCAAGATTTTGAATTTTTTTTTTTTCTAACAGACTGAAAGACTGCATTTTTACAAAATGAATATGAGAAAAATGAGTGCAATCTGATAAAAAGTTACAATTTTATGAGGTGCTTAAATTAGCACCAAAAAAAAAAAATCACTCATTGGCAACAGTGGCATAAATGTGCTAATGACATTTATGATTTACAATTCAAAGCTATAAAATCATGATTTTTTTTTTTTCAGTTTATTGTTGTTTTTAACGTTTAACATTCAGTACACTAGTGTCTTTTGAAATTAATTGTGTTTCAAGGTGTTTTTTAAGGGAAATGCATATCCTAACATTTCTCCATCTGGAATAAACAGTATAAATTAGTGCAAAAAAATGTTCAAAAATATTGGCAGATGGTATATTTTAAGGTATGATAAATTGTGTGTATACTAATATATCTTTATTTCTACAAGGACATGTACAAGGTATACAGGCCTAGCTTACATCAATGACATACTATTACATACACAGCCACTTGCTATGCAGAGCATTCTGGACAAATTAGGTCAGTTTTGTCCCAGGATGCGACCCAGACCAGTCGACTAACTCCCAGGTACCCATTTTACTGATGGGGAACATAGACAACTGTTGTAAAGAAACATGCCAATGTTTCTACCCTCGCTGGGAACTGACCCTTGCCGTGTGAAGCTAGAGCTTTAGCCACCAGACCACAGGGCACCCATAATACACAGACATCACCAGCATACTAGTATGTTGGACACAGTTTAGGAATTATATAACAGACATACATAATAAACATTTTGCATGCAAACATTTGCCAAATTAAGTGTTAAATGTGAATATAAAATAGGGACAATTCATTATACTTTTCTTTTACAAGCACTAGAACTGTTAGCTATCAAATTTACACTATCATTATAAACCTGCTACTGTTATAAACATTCATGGCCATATTACAAGAATCTTAACCCCATAAGAAGTAAAACTATTTTTAGTAAAGTTCTTACATTTCACAATCCATATCCATAACTCATTCCATGTCACTTGCCTTAAGTGTCAGTAAATTTATACAAATGTGGAAATATCTCACCATTTATGCTGAAGAAGCTGAGTTCTTAGTCAGAAAATCACCTTGAAGAGAGAGTATCAATCTTTTCAGAGAAGCAGCCCTTATTACTAGGCACAAACTCAAACCATCACCACGTTAAGGTGATCAAGAGTAGGGGAGTGTGATACATGAAGCATTACATAAAATGCAGAATGCAGATACAGCACAGCAATTACTCTAGCCACTTTCTCCAAGGAAAAGGAATATAAATTATCCCTTTAATGAAAGAAAACATTGTTTGAAAGGTAGAGCCTCTAAAACACATCACAAAGGATTCTCCTTGTGAATAATAACTAATAATGATTATAATCATAACCATGATTTTTAAAGAGGTGGACCAGTAAGCCAATGGAAGTCCTCGGTCAGATGACCAAAAGCTCGAACTGTGGGTCATCATCTGACTGGTACAAAGAGTCATACTGTAATGATGTTGGTAGAATTACCGATAATATGTAAAGTAAAAGGACACAAGTGCAACTAAT